GATATCTGTTTATTCATTGAATAAACCAAGACAGTAATTTATTCAGGAATATTACTGACTTGAACTTCAAGTTATATATACTGAGTGCCATGGAAAACGCATCACTTTTTTTTCCGCAATATTTTATTACTAGGTGGTTTTGTATGTATAATATTATGCAATACTATTAACTATTGTTTCACACAATGCTCCCAAACGCAAAAAATATCGGCCCGTGTGCACAAAAAAAAATTGCACGAGATGCACATGAAAAACCCAATATTCACGTGCAGCATTGTGTGTGAGCCCTTTAAAAGCATGTTTTCAACTTAATGTGCAGTACATGAACTGTGAAACATCAGTCTGTCGTAATTTGTTGTTGGACGTGTGAAGGAATCGAGCTAGAGATGCCGAGACTTACTGAAAATCAACGGAATGAAGCCATGGGAATGTCCAGGGCTGGCATGTCTACACGTGCTATTGCCAGACACTTCAATTGTCAGGTGCAGCAGTCGTCGGAAGACAAGGACCAGTAAGTGCCAACACCGTAAGATGTCGTCTAAGAGAAGTAGGACTCTGTGCACGACGACCTTATGTTGGAGCTATCCTCAGGGATCATCACCGTCAGCGGTATTTGATATGGGCTCAAGAACACCAAACATGGAGAAGAGTAGACTGGCAAAGTGTGCTCTTAAGTGATGAGAGTCGCTTTCATCTTTATCACGCTGATGGCCGTCAACGTGGGTGGAGACTTCTTGGGAACGTCTTGCAGACTGCTGCGTCTTCAAAACGAATCGATGGGGTGGGGGAAGTGTAATGGTGTGGAGAGTAAGGCTGTGCAAAAATATCGATATAATCGATAATTGGTAGAAGTTATTTAGCGATACGATAATCGATGTTGAAATTCAAATATCGATTATCGGCATATTTACCTTCTGACGGCAAGTTACGGTCACTTTCACATGACTGAACTTGGCGTAGTCTGGCATTAGCAAATGAATGAATGAATACACAACGTCAACACAACAACCATTTCCCCCCTCTGCTTACAAACTGGCACATTTTAAATATATATTATTGTAAAAAAACTAAACTTTAAGATTAAATACATTATTTTAATATTTTCATTGTTTTTGTTGTTATTACTAGTTGAAGTTAAAATAGGTCATGCACATTGTGAACAATGACAATCGCACATGATATATAGTAAAATTAGAATTATCTCCCTTTTTTGCTCTTGATTGATTTGTAGAGAAATCGTCGCTTTCACGATAAAACTAATTGTATTATTAATGATCAACTCAGCTTTTATTACTAAATCATGTCAGATACAGCCCATACAAAACACGTTTTTGACTTCCCGTGAAAGGCAAAAAGTGAGGTATGGAATTGTTTTGGTTTTAACGGAACCGACTAATGTAACCTAATAAATGTAACATTTATCTACCTTCATGGACTCTTCTAGTAATGAAGATAAATAACTTCAATTTACTTTCGTTTGTTTTTTTTATTACGATTGAGTATTGACAGATTGTATAATAATATTAATAAATATAATGTGTTTAAATAAACAGTAATAAAGACTGAAGATGTTTTGGAATATTTTTATTATTCAATACTATTATTAAACATGACTGTTAAAGAACAAATACAACAAAATAGTGGTAGCCTGTGTCGACCAACAGAAATAACAGGTCGGTAAAGTTCAGATTTTTCCGGAAAAATGATAATCGATTATTATCGATAATCGCTGACAAATTCTTGCCGATAATCGATATTGAAATTTCATATCGATTCCCAGCCTTAGTGGAGAGGCTTCACATTTCATCACCGGACCACCCTACACATTTGCAGGGGTCGTGTTGATGCTGTAGCCTAACATGATGATGTCTTGCAACCAATTGTTGTTCTGATGTTTCGAGCGCACCCACAACACTTCCAAAAGGATAATGCACGTCCGCATACCGCCCGTTTTAGTATGGACTACCTGGCTGCTAACAACATCAATGTCTTGGACTGGCCAGCCATGTCTCCGGACATGGCACCGATAGAACATGTCTGGGATGAGATTGGACGCCGTCTGTATCGGAGACCACAGATGCACACCATTGCTGCTTTAGAAGCTGCTCTTGTCCAAGAATGGAACAATTTGCCCCAGGCCTTCTTTCAAACATTGGTAAATTCCATGCGATGTCGCTGCACAGCGTGCGTAAGAGCCCGTGGAGGACACACGCGCTACTGACATCTGTGTCGTACATTTGGTTTTGACCCCTCTGACTTTGTACCGTTGATTACAGATTAATCATCCATAAGTGTACAAATGTGTTGTTATTGATGTGTTCCCATTTGAATATTGTTCACAATAAGAAGCAAATTAAATAAGATATGTTTACAGGATCATTTTGTTATATGAAAAACTAAGTGATGTGTTTTCCATGGCGCTCAGTATATTTAGTCTATTCAGAATACGATATTCTCCATAACAATTTACCAAAAATTATTTTTGTTGATGTCTGGTTATATCAAAGTTAACAGGAGCTTCTAATTACCCTATTTCCTACCGGAACCTCATTTGAACCAATTCTGGGCGGTTGGTTTCAAAATGGATTAAAATCCCTGTTCTTATCACATGCTAAAATAGCTCTCCTCAAGAGATTCAGGAGAGCTTTCTAAGGGGAGCGATTTACCCATTTTAGAATTTTAGGAGAGCTTTTTTTGACTCTCCAGGAAAATAATCATTACTCATGTGAAGGTTTGTTTTAAGAGAATTTTAAAGATTTTTTGGGGGATGGGGGGGGGGGCTCCTCAACCCACCTTCTGGAAAATCCTTGCACAGCCTTTAACTGTTTCTTGCTTATCACAGAGAGACCTATAGGCCAGCTGAATGTTTAATGACAAATGCAGTTTGATGTATGTTAAGTCTACTGAAGTGTTTGATTATTATTATCAACACCATATATTCAAATCAATAATCAATTTGATAATGCCATGTCATACTGTAATATATGCTGACAAGTATAAGCCTCTTTCATCTCTGCCCTCAGGCATTAAATGATGCATGTAAATCAAAATATATAGCACTTTGATAACCATTCAGTATTGGATTTATTTAAAAAGGAAAGAATAAACATCTTACTCCAACCTACACATGGAAAACAAATCAGACAATCTATTTTTTTTCTTCCATTTTTCTTATTAAATACTGTTAACTGTATTCATATTCTCTTTCCATTAAAAATAATAAAAGTTCTCTAAAATAAAGCAGTCATAGAACTGTGTTTTGTTATGCATATTAAGGTATGCAGTTAGCTTAATGATAAGCTGCATGTGCTATGTGTTCTAGCCATTAATCAATAACTATTTCCATAGTCATTAGGAAAAAATGATGTAAATATGTACATTATGTATGTATTATTTCAAGATAATGAAGTAAGGGAATTACAACTAAATCTGAAACAAATACCTACATTATAAATTATATGAGGAAAAAGAGATTAATAACAAGTTTAATTTCTTTCTATACCAACCCCATAATTTCCAGCGAGCTTGATCACTATCATAAACAAGCCAACAGTGAGGCTGATGTCCCCCGCCGAAATAGGAAAATAATTAGAGGACACATATAAATTTATCACAAATTATCTTTTACAAAGTATTGAACAATCAAACAGTATATCTTTACTTATAGTCTAACAATCAAAGTAGGAGAGTTATTGTTTTCCAAAGTCTCGACCAATCAAATTGCGTATCGCTCTGCTTACCCTGAGCAGAAAATGCTCATTATCAAACTTAGTCAAGGTATTACTGTAATGAAACTATACACCAAGTTTCATCAATCTCACTTAATTAGAACTAAAGTTATCGTGTCCCAAAGCATCAACCAATCAAATTGCTTATCTCTGCTTACCCTAAGCGGAAAATGCTCATCTTCGAACTCCATCAAGGCATTGACCTAATCAACACATACACCAAGTTTGAACATTCTAGCTCAATTAGGAAGAGAGTTATCGTGCCCCACAGTATCAACCAATCAAATTGCTTATCTCTGCTTACCCTAAGCTGAAAATGCTCATCTTCGAACTCCATCAAGGCATTGACCTAATAAACACATACACCAAGTTTGAACATTCTAGCTCAATTAAAAGTTATCGTGTCCCAAAGCATCAACCAATCAAATTGCTTATCTCTGCTTACCCTAAGCGGAAAATGCTCATCTTCGAACTCCATCAAGGCATTGACCTAATCAACACATACACCAAGTTTGAACATTCTAGCCCAATTAGGAAGAGAGTTATCGTGTCCCAAAGCATAAACCAATCAAATTGCTTATCTCTGCTTACCCTAAGCGGAAAATACTCATCTTCGAACTCCATCAAGGCATTGACCTAATAAACACATACACCAAGTTTGAACATTCTAGCTCAATTAGGAAGAGAGTTATTGTGTCCCAAAAAGTGTGACGGACAGACAGACGGACAGACAGAGGGACAGACAGACAGACGGACGAACCCATTTTAATAGTCCCCTGCTTTCTTCGAAAGGCGGGGGACAATAATTAACATATCTTATAATGTTGCAAGGGTGGGGGTGGCCCAATGGTCAACTGTCATGGTTTCAATTCCCTGTCCAACCTTGTGTGTTTTCTCCGGGTCCTCTGGTTTCTTCCCACTGCTAAAGACCCCTACGTGCAAGTGAATTATTGAAATAAAATTGAACAATATGTTAGTCCTGAAATGACCTGGTTTGTGTGGAGTGGACTCTCTCATAATCTCTCTCTCTCTCGCTCTCTCTCTCTCATAATGTTGTAACCATTATAAGCCTACTTATCTAATTTGGCATGGAAGTTTTTATTGTGTATTGTCAGGATCCTAAAATATGGTGAAATTATGCTGACTTGTCCCTGTTGAAATACAATTACTACATATAGTGTTCAAGCCCTATTAGCATAACAAAAAAAAAAGATTTTTTGTTGACAAAGTATCTAAATATCAAAATAATTAAATATAAATCAGATACCTTACCTGAACTTCAAGAGCATGATATGCTAATATTAAACCTAATAATATCACAGTAGATATAGAGATTAGTGATCTCAGGGCTATGGAATAGAAACTGGACTGAAATAGAAAACATAAGAAATTTTAAAAGATAAATGCCAGCCAACAATACAAATGCCCACAGCAGCCAGGTCCATAAAAATTTGATTCATTGGCTAAATAAAAAGCAAAATATTTATACAGTACAAATATTGCTTCCGCATTGACTAGATGACATAACTGTATAAGTAATTATCAGAAATTTGTAATTGTTATTCATTACACTAACCTAAGTACTGCAGAAAGTCTATTACAAAATAAGCACAAGTGACAATAATAAGCCCTTTGGATTCAATGGATAAATTGGCAAAAGTTTGGGTCCCATTGAACTGTTATTTTTTTCTAAAATTTGTTACTGGTAAATAATTTTTTATATTTGTATGATTTATATATGCACAATACAATCTACCAATTCTGTATGATAATAATTCATAGTCCCAGATTTTTAAGAATAGGCTGTTAAGACATATGCACCACACAACAATTTCTTTAAATAATTTTAACTTTATAATATATAAGTATTGAAATAATTTTGTCACAGTGTCACACATACAAAGAATATTATTATTATTATTACAGCATATTTACAGTGCGCCCTTTCATATAACATATTCAGGGGCACTGTACAAAGTGACAATGTAATCATAAATAAACAACAAGATTATGAACATGTTAATGATTGTATACAGAGTCAGTTAAAAGCCTGATTAAATAAATGTGTTTTAAGTTGTTTTTTAAAAGAATATAGAGATGAACAACATCTTAAACTAAATGGTAGATTATTCCATAAAATATGTGCTCGATAACTAAAAGAGGGCTGACCATATGAGACTAGTTGAACAGTTTGGGGCTTTAAAAGTAGTTTATCTGATGTAAGTAATGATCGGCCAGGTGTATAAAGTTCTAAAAGGTCTGAGAGGTAAACAGGTGCTAAATTATTTAAACATTTAAAAGTAAGTAATAAAATCTTAAAATCAATTCGATATTTAACAGGTTACCAGTGTAAATTATATAAAACAGGAGTTAATGTATGTGGTCACATTTCTTAGTTAAAGTAACAAGTCTAGCTGCAGTATTCTGTACTTTTTGTAATTTATCTATAAGCTTTAAAGGTAAACCAACTAAAAGTGACTATTACAGTACAAACATTGGAACTAATTTGAGCAGTATTAAAGTATATATCTTATATCTTAAGTTGTCTAAATGGATTGTCGAAGGACAGACAGAAAGATAAACATTATAATGATTTTATCTATCAATAAAATGTACTGGTATTAAACATAAAATAAAAGGATAACCTATGCTACTGATCACTTTGTATCCTCAAAATCAAAGCTAATTTCAAATCACTTTACATTTATTCCAGCAACAAATAAACACCACTAGCTTATTGTTTTTCTTAAATTGAACATAAAGCTTTCATATCTTCAAAAACACTGACAAACTCAAGTATCTTTTGGGGAAAAAAATATTGTCTGTCAACTTCAACATTTAAGACAGTACCTTTATATTTACCATGTAAAGAAATGATAAAAGTGACTTGAGTCATCAGCATTGTTGTATTTTGTGTCTCAAATTTACAATTGTATAAACACTCAGGTCTCTATATACATGTATTTTTCCACATCATGACGTCAATAATCAGAAATATAATCTGTCATGACGTCACAATATTGCCTTGATCAAACACAGTAGATAAAATCTTTGTTTTGTTGGTAATCCTTTGAAAGTAATCATAAGGTAACTAGATTGTTGCATATGAAAAATGAATGAATTATATATGGTCAATGTGGAGCAATTGGGAACAGTGGATTATTTATTTAGTGCCATATATGTATGACAGTGTTAAATAAATATCAAAAACCATTGATTTACACAATAACTTGTATTTGTGGGGATACTTGATTGAATTTTCTGGAATTGAATTCTCTCAATCCCTCAAAAGGCATCAAACGAATAAACTCAAGAATTTCCAGCAAAAAGGCATGCGCCAACTGAAAAGGATAGAATCTCGACATATCACTATAACATGGTTATGTAACAATTCTGCTTACACCACATCTGATTTCGTGACTAAAAATATTGTCATGGCATTCAATTGTAATTCCATAGATTCTAATTTTCAGGACTGACAATCAACACCCCTGAATGATAAATTGCTTAACACGTGTCAACATGCTGTAAAATCAATAAGTACACAAACTGAATATAATTACAGCTTATTCAGTTAGAATTTATATTATATCTTTGCAGACAATACTGACATATTTGAAATTGTAAAACTAAACTTAAAGTGGCAATAAGTCTATGGAATTGGAAGCCAACCAACTTAAGAATTAAACTTTTCAAACCTTATATTTGAGAAATTTTGAAGCTTGTAAGATTAAATGTGTAGAAAGCCATAATATACCACATTTTAACTCCATGTGGTTGCTACCTTAAAGTAGCAATGTATGGATGCAAACCAAAAAATTTATTGCCATTAATCAATCTTTGTCACGCTAATTACTGAATGCATATTAATTTAGAAATTCCAACAATTTTAAGTCTGTGATCGTCATTTGAAGGATTGTGTCTGAATCTTAATCCATTTCTAACCATGAACATTGAAGCCAAAATGGCATTAAATAATGTTATTTGTTTTAATTATGTAGATTACTATAATATAAAGAACACTTTTTTGCCCTTAATTTTGGTCATTTTAAATGAAGAAAATCTATATTAGCATGCTGGAGTATTGGGAATTCAAAAGATAAATAATTTCATTTTCATAACTAATACAATCTGTAAAACATCTTGGTCCATGTTGTCTGTTTGTTAAATAAAATGTAATTTTAAAATAATCATGTTATTATCTAAACTTTAGAAATTAACATATTAACCAGCAATGTCTATTTTGCACTAAAACAGTAACTCTATTTTTTTAAAAAAAATAAATCTATGTAAATTTCTAATTAAAATGTCTTCAACTTTGACTGCTAATGAAATCTGGTTGTTATTCACTAAAAGGATCTGCTTGACAGATAATTAAAATTGAATTTCTTTTGTTCAGAAGATTTTAAATTGGTTTAAAAACTGCATTTGCCCTTGGGTGTTGGCTGTCGATCACTGGTCAGTGTATGCTTACTCTTTCAAGTTCATTTGATACAAATTCTCATTAACTTGGGAAGTTCACATATAACTTTCACCATTTGCTGTACTTTTTCCAGCATCAGTCAAAGAAAGGTTGGCAGACAACAAGACTGACATAAGCCCACAACAGCTATATCGTCTGAGCAGTCAACAAGGCTTATCACATATATTTATCCTTTTCTAGGTAATAGGAGTATTTACAAGACATTGATACCAATTTCATACAGATCGAATGATACAAGATTCAACAAAGGGAAACAAGGGTCATGACTGTAGAATAGTGATTCTCAACCAGTGAGCCGCGAGATCTTCCTAAGTGTGCCGCAAAATTTTGAATGACACACTAAGAAAATGCGAAAAACCATGTGATCCTAATTGAGTATTCACTGGTGTCTACTGATAAGTTCATTGCTGTGTTTTCCTTTATTTAGTTTTGAATCAGTTCATGTGTTTATTTCTAGTTTGTGTCAACGTTTGTCTGCCGTCTATGACTTGCCATGTTTTCATTTTGCAAAATTCAAATATTTTTCATTTATATTTAGCCAGGTGTAGCCTTATTTTTGCATGTGTTCCAAGGTGTGCCGTTGGGAAAAAAAAGGTTGAGAACCACTGCTGTTGAATTTATTAACAGAAAATCCTTAAATTCAATAGCCTTCTACGTTTTACTAATCTCAATAATGTATTTAAATTTAACACAGATCGGATGATAACATCTGCCATTAGGGAGTTTACAAGGGGTTTAACAAAGTGAAACAAGGGGCATATATACTTCTAGAAGTAATTGACGGAAATTGCTGAAATTAAACAGGCTTTTTCATTTTACTCCTCTAAATAATGCATATGAAATCCAGAGATCAGATGATAACTTTAGTCGTTAAAGTGTTCACATGGTTCTACAAGATAAAACAAGGGCCATAATTCTAGAAGTAATTAACGGAAATTGTTGAAATTCAATAGGCTTATTCGCTTTAGTCATCTAAATAATGCATATAAATTTCATACAGATCAGATGATAACTGTTGTAGATAGAGTGTGCACAAGGTTCAACAAAATGAAACAAGGGCCATAAGTCTAGAAGTTATAAATGAAAAGTGCTAAAATTCAACAGGCTTCTTCGTTTCAGTAATTTAAAAAAACGCATGTAAATTTAATACAGATCGGATGATAACAAGGTTCAACAAAGTGAAACAAGAACTATAACTCTAGAAGTAATTAAAGGAAATTGTTGAAATTAAAAAGGATTCTTTATATCACTGATGTAAACTATATTTTTAAATTTGAAACTGATCATATAATAAATGTAGCCTGTAGAGTGTTTATAAGAAATTGTTTAGGTAGGATCAATGCCCGGAGGCAACGGAAATATAAAACCACACTTCCATGTGGGCGTATAAAAACATCTTTGAAAGGTAATATGACAGATTATTACAATTCTAAATAATTTGAATTTCTAGTGTTTCTTGGGATGAGACCTAATTTCTTAAAAGGCTTCTCAACTTAATTTTTATGATTTATGGCGTTTTAGGAGAATACATTCTAATAAATTGTAGTTTTTAAATAGGGTAGAGGTTTCAAGAAGTGACAGGACTATAAAGCACCTTATTAAAATCTTACAAGTTTTATATTGAAAATGTCAAATAGTTGAATAATGCCATCATCTCTTAGATCACTTTAAAAATTTCATCTCTCTAATGCTTTTTTTGTCAATGACCAATCTAGGACTGGCGTTTTTGAATTGAAATGAATCATCTTGGTTTGCGACAGATTGACAGGGATGATAACCAATGGTTTATAAGAAATATAATCTTTTTCCTATACCAGGGCCATGGACACCAGCTTTGCAGTAGGATTCTTTCCCTCAAATAATGACAGATTCTAAATATTATTAT